ACAGTACATTGACATTGACACTGACATTGACACTGTATAATACTGTATATACATCAAGCAACACCAACATGCAAGGCAGGTGAACAAGCCGCCCACAACACTGGCAAACTCTCGCAACTAAGGTTTCAACCCATACGGTCGTCACCGCTGGCGCATTGCCCCCGCCCAGTGAACCTTTGCGCAACGGCTGTGCAAACATCTTCTCGACACAGTTCCAATCGAAGTCGGGCCAACCTCGGCACAGTTATTCATCTGCGTAGTTGCATGTGATATAGTTTGCGTGCTTGAAGCGGAACAATGATGGAAAACATGATTCCCAGACCAAATCCCAGGAAACCCACGAGCAGTGTCATGAAGATCAATGATGGAAACGCTTCGTGCAGCCGTCGCCAACGCATCGGCTGCGAAAATGCCGGCACCATCCCGCCAACAGTCCTGGTGTCGTTCTGGTGTGTTGATTCTTCTTGGGCATGCTTTGGTATCGCATGTCATGTTAGGGATTGGACAGGATGCACATGTGTTATACGCTGCCTGCCCGACTTGAGAGGCCAACCCTTGGCAGGGCTGCACTCCACCAGTGTGAAATTGGCAAAGCACATGGCTGTCACAACGTCCCGTATGAAGCCCTTGCTATTGAAATACACTGGTAGCATTATGCTTCCCCTTGCGAAAGGCTCGGGATCCACTGATCGGAATGACTACCGCCCCATCACTTTGACATGCTGCTTGCGCGCGGGGCGGCACAGAAGCGCAGCAGGAGCCACCCCGCCTGCAGGCGGGGCCGCGGGGATGATCTCAAGGATGTTTTTTTGAGATCTCTCAAGGACCGTCCTGGTCGTCGCATGTGCGCTGGAACTGGTGCGCGGCGAACGCATCATGCTCCAAGGGCGCCAGTCACCGACCCAGAGGCTCCCACCGCCTTCGCCAGGATCAGTGATGTCGGGGCGCGGGGGTCTTTTCACCGGCGGCGCGTGCCCGGTTCCACAACACAGATGCCAGAGCTTCGTAAAGCGTGCGGACACGCTCGGGCGCAGCGACGATGCACGTATCGTCGAGGAAGGCGAACAAAGCCTCGCCATCCTGGAATTGGCTTTGGGGCTCGCACGGGGCTTCATGTTGCGCCAACGCATGAAGTGCGGGCAGTCGCCCGGTTCGCCGCTTTCGCCCTGAGACATGGTGTGTGCACAACCCGCTGCATCGAATACCACGTGCATGTGCTGGGCGCTCGAGTAGGCACAGGTCACCCACCAGCACGCGTGCCCTTCATATCCGACGGATGTCCCCCCCCCCCCCTGTGCGACAGAGAGGCTCGATCCCATAGAGGCCCTTAAGCCAAACATAGCCAAAATGACTGCGATCTCTTGTTCGGCGCGCAGCCTTTCGTCAGCCCATGCCCGAACGAAGGCCAGGTGACCCAACGGCGAACCCAGGACAATTACGCCTTGTTGGGCATCGGGCTTGTCGCCTCGCCACACATCATCGTCTAGTTCCGCGATCCCAGGCGGAGCGGACCACACCGGCCTTCTACTGCGTGCACTGTGGCGTCGAGGGCGGCTAGCACTTGACGGCATCGTGACCACGTATAGGTCGTCCAGGAAACCGTGGAGGAATCTCTCTTCGGAAGGGCATCGTGATGTGCGAAGGCGAAAAGCGCGGCAGCGAGAGGGCCCCCTTGCTCGCAGCCTTCGCCTTGGGGGACGTCCCGGCAGCATCCTGCGAAGTCCCACCAGTATCCACCAACAATACGTGGAAAGGCTCCCATGCAACAAGCGCACAAACGGGAGCAATTCGGGCGCCACCTCACGGAGTAAACCAAAACAGCTCCTGTGCGTGTCGCAAAGGCGGCATGCATGTGAGCAGCGAAGCTGCCTGGCGAGCGCTTTCCGGACTCAAGCAACAAAACATATCACCTGTGGCGGTTCCGCGCATGCCTCCTTCTGCTTTGGCACGCCTCCTCGACGTGCGGAGCGAAGTGCGGCTGCGTTTGCTCGCGTGGGGGTACTGGCTGGGAAGGTTGGTGCCGAAGGCTGAGGATGTCTGGATCGATCTCGGATCGTGCCTCCGGAGGACAGCGCGCAGCCATCAACACCTTGACATCCCCGACCCCTGAACCTGGGGCGTCCTCTAAAATGGACAGCCCACTTTCTCAGGTCCTCAAGCAGCATCTTGGCCCAGTAGGGTTGAAGCCCCTGAAAACCCTCCCCCCCCCCCCCTCCCAAGTTCAGGCGGTGTGCACAATGGGATGCATGAAGGTTGCACAGCAAGCAAAAAATGGACAAACTCGTCTGTGCACATTCCTTATTCGAATCACTCCTTCTTTTCCTCTCAAAAAACTTAAAAATGGACAGCCAGAGCGTTGAAGGTCTGACCGGCGTGGGTCAGGGCATGGTTTTCCCCACCTCCAACCCCAAATTTGTCCCTGTCATTTCTTTTGAGCAACCGCGGGAACCCCCGGAACCCAACCCTCGGATATGCCCAGAAACCCTGAGAAATTGGACAGCCAAGGGGTGGCAGGTCTGAACGATGTCGGCCAGGGAAGAGTTTTCCCCACCTCCAACCGAGTTTTGTCCAACCCCCACCGCCCACCCCCCCCCCACCCCCCCCATCCCCCCCACCCCCCCCCCCTCTATCCCCCTCCTGAAACAAGCAGAGCCTGCCACACACATAGAAAATGGACAAACTGGCTCCGGAGCTAGTTTTGTCCATTTCTTTGTTCTTGGTCTCCAGGACATGTTAGGATCTCCCGATAAAGGAAAAATGGACAGATTTTATGCCACTATGGTCCTAGGACCAGGCCCTGTCCATTAAATAAAGGTGGGGGATACCTTGACGTGCACGTGACAGTTCACCCCTCCACACTTTCGCGCAGGCTTGTTGTGCTTTCTCTCGGCGACTTGTTCGGGGGGTAGCGCCGGGGTGTCGTGCGCTGGGCGGCTGACGCGGCAACGCAGCGGCCCGGCCCAGCAATTCGGCACGGCCTCGCGAGCTTCGTTGCTTTCTGCGGGCAAGCAGCATGCGGGGTGCGAGCAGGAACAGCTTCCACGCCCCGGCCGCATCTGTGCCGTCAGCGGCGCTGTTGGATGCGTGGCTCTCGCAAGCAGCGTCGAAGCGATTGCACAAGCGCCCCCCGTACCATGGCTCGCATGAAGCGAGGTGCATCTTGCAACGTTGGAGCTGGGTGTCGCAACTCATCCACGAGATCGGCGTCGCCCAAAGCCGGAACGAGTGTGCGTGACTTCAATGATGTGGTTTGCTTAAGTTTTGCTTAACATCAATTCCCCGCGCGCAATTCCACAGTACAGGATAGTACAGGGGTGGGTGGGGGGGAGGGCATTCACAAGCGAATGTGCAGACTGACCAATTGACTGACCCACTGACCCACTGACCCACTGACCAACTGACCAACTGACCAACTGACCAACTGACCCACTGACCAACTGACCAACTGACCAACTGACCAACTGACCAACTGGACATGGACATGGACGTGGACATGGACATGGACATTGATAGAGTCGAGTCGAGACCTGATCGCCCGAAGGCGTCCCCTTTAGGGCACAGATGAAACGTTCTATAGGCATGGTCAGATACACCATGTGTCCGCAACGCATCTTTCCGGGTGGAAGACACCCAACAAGTTGAGAACTGTTTCAAGCAGCCATGTCTTGAGCGAGTCACCACTAAATCTCCTGAGATCTCTCTCCCAAGCGATGGCCTACGCAGAATACGTTACGCTACGCTCTCCATTGCAACAGCACGGCCTGGACAAGTAGTAGTAGTAGTAGTAGTAGTAGTAGTAGTAGTAGTAGTAGTAGTAGTAGTAGTAGTAGTAGTAGTAGTAGTAGTAGTAGTAGTAGTAGTAGCACTAGTTGCACTAGTAGCACTAGTAGCAGTAGTAGCAGTAGGAACAGTAGTAGTAGTAGTAGTAGTAGTAGTAGTAGTAGTCGTAGTCGTCGTAGTCGTAGTCGTAGTCGTAGTCGTAGTCGTAGTCGTAGTAGTCGTAGTCGTAGTCGTAGTCGTAGTCGTAGTCGTCGTAGTCGTAGTCGTAGTCGTAGTCGTCGTAGTCGTAGTCGTAGTCGTAGTAGTAGTAGTAGTAGTAGTAGTAGTAGTAGTAGTAGTAGTAGTAGTAGTAGTAGTAGTAGTAGTAGTAGTAGTAGTAGTAGTAGTAGTAGTAGTGAGTAGGAGTAGGAGTAGGAGTAGGAGTAGGAGTAGGAGTAGGAGTAGGAGGAGGAGGAGGAGGAGTAGGAGTAGGAGTAGGAGTAGGAGTAGGAGTAGGAGTAAGAGTAGGAGTAGGAGTAGGAGTAGGAGTAGGAGTAGGAGGAGGACGACGAGGAGGAGGAGGAGTAGCACTAGTAACCGTAGTTGGAGGAGGAGGAGTAGTAGTAGTTCTTCGCGGTCATGTGCGGATTAGGCCCTCCCCCTGCTCCACCCACGCCTCCCCATGCCCTGAAACATAGTGGCTAGCGGTGCCTTTCATGTTGCTTGTGTTTCCAACACTGTTCATGCTGCTGATGCCTCAGCATTGCGTTTTCTTTTCCCAGCCGGGTTTAAGCACGTTTTTGAAGCTTTGATACGCGCCTTTGCAGCTAGATGTGGAAGCACGCAGATGTTCGGATACTTGTTTTCGTGACGAGATTGGTCGCCAACGTGCCGAATACAACAACATTTCCCAGCCCCTTGCCCGTCAAGGCCCTGTAGCCACAGTCACTGCGCAGATTGTTCCGGGCACTGGGCGGCGCATCCGGCACCTCCACATCCCGAAACAGGCGCAGCATCGCCGCAAGCGCGCCAGGATGGCCTCAGGATGGCACTCAGGGCGCCAATGCACACCCACAGAATGCAGTCCGCCGCGCACTCAGCGAAAGAGTGCCAGGGGGTCATCCTTGCCGAGGAGGCGTGCAAGGCAGTGAAGAACCGCTGTATCGTGGGCTTCCGCGAAGGTTTCGGTGTCTGCCGATGGCACAGTGCGCAACAAGTAGTCGCACCGCGGGGCCGCGCGCATGAGCAGCAGCAACCACACCCGATCCGTTGCAGGTTTTCCAGCTTGGACCGGCAGACGTTTCAGCGCTTCAGCCGGCATCACTGCGACGAAGTCCCTGGTGCCAACGGCTGCCTTGCACGACGAGGCTGCCAACGAAGTTGCGAAACAACGACGACGCCTTGCTTTGCAGCCGGAAGTGTCCAGTCCCCCGTCCAGCAAGGACTCCCGTCATCTGCAGTTGCAGCCAGGCCTTGGGGCGAGGAATTTGTGCAGCAACGCTCTGCGCCCTTTGGCGGCCAGGGTCCGTGGCCCAGAACGGCTTCTGGGCGACGCACGGCGCTGCTGACGGCCCGGAACGCATAACACGCGTTGTCCGTGCTGGCTCAAGCACGCTGCGCATCGCGCTGGCAACCACGTGAGGCGATGCGAAGTCTTTTTTGTTTTTTCTCCACACGCCTAACTGCCTGCACGATTCTGGCTGGATGTCCTCTTCCGAACTACGACTACGCCGCCTGGACAACACGCTGCGGTGAGGCTGGCCGGGAGGTCGAAGATCGATCCGCGGGGGCAGTGCGGGCTGAGCCGTCCTCGATGCCGTGCTGGCACAGCCCACCAGCGAACGTGCAAGCCGAGGTGGCTGCAGCGCGCAGCCCCTTGTAAAGGGAGCTGGGCGCGTCGTTCCCCGGCTTCGGACCCTAGAATGTGCGCGCCAGCTGTCAACTCTGGGCACGCGATGCGCTTGCGAAAACCAGCGTCGCATCGCAACACATGGCTCCCCCGAGCGGCGTCGTGGAGAGGGGACGCCCAACGCAGCATGCTGTGAGCCATTGCTGGGGACCAACTGTGACTCAGGGCCGACGACCCTCCGGGGTAGCCCGTCCAAAGATTTTCAAGTCGCGGGCTAGCAAACCGGTGAGCAGACATACCGGCTCCGCAGCCTGGCGGGCCGCAACAGCTTTAGCGGAGCGGCAAGGGGAGACCCAAGTGGCGGTGCAGTGTCAACTCCATGTCCTAGGCTCTCCACCATGTAAACGAATGTCAAATCAGAGATCCATTTACGTGGTGAGGGAATGCTTTCCACCCGGTGAATGAAGGCTCCAATCAAGACAGGTCTCGGAATCCGACACCCACTCGCTGCACACTGCACAGGTCGCTGCACGGCGAGACAGTTGTAGGTGTTACATGTGAAGCATGAACTTGTCACACTGCACAAACGAAGCTGATGAATCCTCAGCTGTGGGAGCCTCGATGATTTTTCCGGGCCAGACATTACTGTTCAAGGCTCTTGATGCAGTCACGAATGCTGCGACTGTCAAAAGGGCAAGAATTTCGAGCGGGCAACCTAAATTGGAGGCGCAGCACATTTCAGCAGATGTAGTGGCATGTCAGGCCGGTGAGTTCTGGGCAGAGGCTGATGGCTTGAATGTTGCTTGCGGGGGTCCGCGGGGTCGCGTTGCGGCTCTAGCCAAGATACCTGCTCACGAGGCGCAGCGTATGCTGGAGATCAAAGCAGCGAGCTTGAAGGCATCTATTCAGAAGAGGAGCCTATTCTCGGTGGCTTCGGGCCTGCGTTGCTGGCACCAATTTGCTGTGACCGTTTTGCAGTATCACCCCGAGGAGACCCTCCCGCCGAAGTGTGCCAGAGACATCGTCTATTTCATTATTTTGTTGCCATCTTTGAAAACCCTGGCACGGCCCGGAACTGTGTTTCGTATGTTCGTTGGGCGTGCGTATTCCACAGACTGGATTGCGCGTGGTTTGACCCAGAAGTGCAGATGGTTTTGCGAGGCTTGGACAAGCATTACATTGAAAGTTTGCCTGGGTGGCAAGGCTGGTCACTCTCTGCAGCGAAAGACCTGGTTTTGATGACTTGGGCTTGGTGGCGCTTGCCAAGTGAGAGCAGCTGAGCATTCCCCTCCAGTACGGGGATCACAGTGAGCTGCACATCCTTCCTGATGGCCGGCGCTCCGCGCTAACTGTGAATGCGCAGTTCTGTGCGCACTTGCGCCTCCGACGCAGGAAGCATCGGCCACAGGGGTCACCACTACTACTACTACTACTACTACTGCTACTACTACTACTACTACTACTACTACTACTACTACTACTACTACTACTACTACTACTACTACTACTACTAAGCTACTGGTAAACTACTACTTAACTACTACTAAACTACTACCAAACTACTAAACTACTACTAAAGTACTACCAAACTACTACTAAACTACTGCGAAACTACTGCGAAACTACTACTAAACTACTGCGAAACTACTGCGAAACTACTACCAAACTACTGCGAAACTACTGCGAAACCACTACTAAACTACTACTCAACTACTACTAAACTACTACTAAACTACTACTAAACTACTACTAAACTACTTCTAAAACTACTACTAAACTACTACTAAACTACTACTAAACTGCTACTAAACTACTACTAAACTACTAGACTACTAAAATAATAACTACTACTACTACTACTACTACTACTACTACTACTACTACTACTACTACTACTACTACTACTACTACTACTACTACTACTACTGCTACTGCTACTACTACTACTACTACTACTACTACTACTACTACTACTACTACTACTACTACTACTACTACTACTACTACTACTACTACTACTGCGACTGCGACTGCGACTGCGACTGCGACTATTACGACTATTACGACCATTACGACTATTCCCACCGCCACCACCACCACCACCACCACTACGCAGCGAAAGACGTACGTAAGGCTCACTAAGTCGCGGTATAGCAACGAGTAGAATCTACATCTGACATCGTTCGGTCATCTACTGAACCTATTGCTCGTCCTCGTCGCATACAAGACTGACCAGAAACGACAGCCACGGCTGCTGCAGAAGGCATCCTGTGCAGGCAATGCACCCGTAATGCACGCGTGCACTCTCGTACACGAGTTCGTTGGCAAAGTGTTCGCAAACAAAGAATGCATGAAAACCATATCTTCACAGTGTAATACGGATGGGAGCAAGTGACTGGAAAAAGCCGTCCACCGAGGCATGTTGCATTGACTGTCTCGCCCTTAATTGTAGATGACAACGAAGACATTTCTTCAGAAACGAGTCCTTGCATATTGAATAGTCGACCTTTGAACATGACATCTCCCCAGACAAGGCCTACAGCAGACTTGCAGTGGGCTGCTTCTTGGGCTGCACGAGCTGCGAGAAGGCGATGCCTGCCACAAAGGACAGACACCAAGATGACAATGCGGGGCAAATGTAAGATGCGGGGCTCCAAGGCCGATGCTCCAAGCAGAGTTTTGCAACATCCTGAGTAGGCCAATGTCAAGCCCAAGGAACCAATAACACCTTGAACCACATTTGAATGTACGTAACATAAGAAGAAAGCACGGCGGGCTAAGCTATCGGGCAACCCGCGCGAGGCTTTGCAGCTTGCATGTGGCAGCAGCTGCCTCTCGTCAGGCACATCATGGCACATCTGTCATGCGTCCATGCCAGGCAGACACTGAACAACTCTTACTCTCGCTGCCTCCAAGCCATGCATCAGCGACCAGCGCACAACATAGCACTCTCACTGGGTGTCTCAGCATTGCTTGCCACATCCTAGAGTAGCCACGGCAACTTGCAGAACTTGCAGAATGCAAGCTAGCGAAAAGTTAAGACTATGGAATGCCAATGGTCACGATAAGAGCAGTAGAGTACTGCTGCTCCTATGCAGGAGGGGTGGGTGTGCGCTCGGTTCAGGCAACTTTCGCCCAAAAACAACGCCGAAATGAAGGAGCATGAACATGATCAAGAGCCACGGGGGCTGCTGGCCAGATGCCATCACTATTGGACCGTTTGGTCATGTTTGGGCGCGTGCTGACAGTGGGTGGTGTATGTTTGCGGCGAAAATCGTCTCCAATGATGTCGGTCAGGACTTGCACCCTACATGCTGTACCGACAGCAAAAACTCAGCAAAGATTGCAGGCGCATGGTTTTTGCAAGTCTCTCGTCACATCTCAATCTGGAAGCAGACTACACAATTGCTGCTCAGAGACATCCAGCTACTACAACAAGGACACGATCCAGGATCCAGGATACCGCGATGTACTGGTATTTTGGAACCTACGATCATGAGTCATGACACATCACTGCATCTGCGCTTCAGGAACCGAGAGGACGTCCGGAACCTGCCCGGTCCTGCATTCAAGAGGATGCGAAGTGGGTGCAAAGCAATCCCGCTCCCATTGTATCCATCCTCAAGTACTCTGTCAGTATCTCCAGGCAATCATCTCGTCGTTCAGTGCCAATCTGATGGGGCCTGAGTCAACATGCAGAAAACGTTCATGAGCAAAATACCTGGGACTGCTCTGCAAACTCGGTGCAGACAAAAACCTTCAGCGCATGGTAGCAGGAATTTGTGGACATTGTGTGCAATAGCATGAAAGCACCACTTTCAGCGGGCTGGCAATTCAAGGTTGCATGCCACACCACCAATGCTCATACGAGCAACAGCGACATGCCACTTCTGATGCGAAGAGTCTCGGGAGGCAGCAACCACTACATCTGCAATGGTGCCACTGCTGCCGACGAGCCGTAAACGAGCATCGATGAAGGTAGGCGTGAAGGTTCCGGTGCACGACTCGATCTGTGAAGAGCCAAGGACCGCTTGCACACTCCGATCTTCCAGCACAGATCTTCTTACAAAGCCGTAGCTTTGCGAAACGCGAATGGATTTCAGCATTCGGCTCCCTGCTGCAAAGAGGGTGCCAACAACGGACAAACACAATGCTATCTTCAAGTTTGTCCTGGACCGATCACTCTTGGCGGCAGCATCGCCCCTGACACACATTGTTTCATACTCCGGTAGTCCTGACGGATCTCCTTGCAGCACGAGCGGCCGTCCAGAAGTATCACTTGCCAAAACCACCAGCGTTTCCAAACTCCAGGTTGACGAGTCTGACTGCACCTCGCTGGCGGTAAAGCCTTGTCGAAGAAGCCGCACTCTTTGAACAATGGCCTTCTTTAGCTCCCAGGGCCGGAACCAGTAATTCCACTGCTGCTCCTCATCGTCGTCTTCTTTTGACTCCCACACCTCCGACACCTGGTTGCGCTTTTCTCTAGCTGCAACGAGTACATCTGCGACTCGACCATCGGTGCTGTGCACCCTAAAGCGTGCACGCATCAAGCCTGCATTTTTGTCCACGTGCCCACGTCGAGGCCAGAAACTCAATCGAATCTGACTGCCAAGGCCCAATTTTCCCGTTTGCGCCGTGTCTTCAAGCTGCTTGATCGCAAGCTGGACACAAGGAAAGCGCTCCTCGAATTTGCGGTGCTGCACATAAACGGTTCCGCACCCAACCGCTCCGGCAACCGTCCAAGCGGCCGCAATACCACGCTTTTTGAAGGCAGCTGCCATGACATAAATAAAGCTGCAACTCAGGCTACTGGTTGATTTGTCGGCGTAGCCTGCAGCTGAACTAGGTACACTCCTGTCCAGAGCCTCCTCGTTCAAGCAAGCTATCATCATTTATCATCATACACTGATGATTATAATGCAACTACGGCAATAACTGATGTGGAAATCCTAGACTGTAGGTAAACAAGAACACTCAGGAGACTCCTGTCGCGAGCCGCAAAAGGCCACATGCGCGCTCTGCGAACGAAAGGTTATGTTACATGTGCAAAAGCCGCTCTCCAAGCACCAGGCCATCCTTTAGCATAGTCGACGGCGGTTATCTTCTTATCCTGCACTGAACATTGGCATGGTGTTTCTGCACAACGTTTCCAGCATGTGTACCCCGACGCCGCTCAAGGATTACATCATTTGATCGTCCTTCACAGTCTTGTCAACCAGGCCGATATCGGCACCAGCTCGCAACAGTGCTGCCAGCACCTTTCACTACTTCTCCCCGAAAGGACAAGCCGAGATTGGCAGAGATGCAACAAGCCTTGGCATGGCCGTTCTTTGCGGCGACCTGAGCTGTCGCCGCATTAGGTGCAGAGGGCTATTTGTCTGCGGAACTTGCACTCATTTGCACTCATTTGCACTCGGCTTGGCAAGGAACCATAAGAGGTGTCTTGCCCTCCTTGTCGGGCAAATTGATGTCAATGAAGTCCTTGAGTAGGTCGGAACACTTTCACAACACTGAAACCGTCAGTTGTACGAGGCCGTGTGGGTGTCAAGTCCTGCAGCTACTGATAACTATCGGGTGTACCCTGACCCTTCAGCTGGCCCATTCCAGCCCAGCACTCCCATGGGTTATCATGGGTTCAGATGACGTCCATGCCACCTCCCCACTGCCCAAAGAATGTTCCTGTTGAAAGGCAAACGAATCGCAACCTTCCCGTGCCTTCCATTGTTTGGTCAGGTCCCAACATGTACGAAACTTGGCCATGGGTGCCATTCGGGATGGCGTACAAAACAGCGCAAGGTGCACGAATTGCACAACTCCTCTTGGGGTTTGTCACACGGAATCCCAACCCCACTCTGGCTACACGAGCCAACACGAGCACAGACACTCTGATGTTACTCCATGACCTTTAGAAGGTCTGACAACGATTAGAGGGCTAAGTGTGGCCCTGCTCCCCTCAGCTACAGCTCATCCTGCAGAATAGTCCTTCTTGCCCGTCTCGAGATAATCCTCGACGACGTCTACAAGTCCATCTTGAACATGCACGGTGAACCGGATTTGGTCCTAAACGCAGACTTTGGAGTGCCGACTACAACTATCAAACGCATGTGCAAAGCAAAAGGAACTGCAGCTGTCCCGCACGACGTAGCCGTATCTGTCCCATTCCTGCTCCTTTGTCAGTGGGTAATGCCAGCCATCAGCCTGGGGTCAAGAAAATTCCACGACATGTTAAGCTAACAGGTTTCAAGTCTCTCTTGCCTTTTGCGCATCTGTCAGGCTCAAGTTCAGGTCATTGAACTTTCCGAAGCTTGCAGGCCTTGGTACAACAGTAACACATGACTCTTGCTCACACACCGGGGTTCTTTCCATGCAGACAAAACTCTTCGGCATCAGTCTTCCACGTCCTGATAACAGCGAGCAAGTCGTACTGCGACAAAATGCGTTGATGGTGAACTGGCACGAATATACCCGCCACACACACACACTCACAGATGTGCAGATCTCCAGAATCTCCAGAATGAGTCAAAAATCAGCATTGCCGAGTCAACTGCGCACTGTCCAATAATCTGATTATACTCACAGACATTCTGGCATTACCGACTCAACGGTAAATTGTCGCATCACCCCACTCTGTCGGATCGTCTGATAACTGTCATGCAACGTTCTGACTCTCCAACACACTGAAGGAATCAACGGAGCTTGTGCTGGAACAAAAGTAGTCTGAGCGGCCTTCTGTACATCGCAACCACAATCAGAAACACTGCGAAAACAGACTGCGCTCGAATGAAGCAGCAAGTACACGTCTGCGCCTAATAGCCTCTTCAAACAGGCATCACCCACACACCCACACACACACACACACACACACACACACCCCCACCCACCCACCCACGAACGCACCATCATGGGTCAAGATGCATTTGGCGCTCGGCTCCCACATCACTGCAAACTCTGCGAACTGCAAGCTTTGCAAGCGAGTGAACCTGAAGGTATGTTGGCGTGATCGTGTGAAGATCCTTTTGTTAAGAACTGATAGACGCAGAGGATGAGGTGGTTGAGATAAATGTGTTGAAAGTGGGTTGTTGTGTCAACATGTTGTAGGCAGTACAAAACAGAATACGCAACTACGTTCTCTAACTGTGCCGGGGCTTGCCCGTCAAGCCAGAGGGCGGGATCGCGGCTTTGGCGTTGACAGGCACACACCGCGATGGGGTTTCTTCCACTCGTCCATGAAGCAAACACAAAAAAATAGTATGCAGCTGCCCCACATGCTGCCAGACTGCTATACAAACAATTCTTTATGCAGACTAAACGTTGCACAAGCAGCTCGCCACATGGAAATCTGCCACGATGGCCCACAAGAAAGCTGACTTAAGTTGTTGAGCTTTCATCTGTTGCGAACCAACAGCGACTGTAAACCTATGTTACATGATGTAAATAAGCATCGCTATCACGCGAGTAAAGGGTCAGCCGCCCCAGACCGCGTCACCAAGCTGCCCCCCCCCCAAGCCCCAACCAATCGCTTGTGCCTCGTGATGGAACGCGCACACACACTCTTGCTGGTCTCCATCCCTCTGCTTGCAAGGGCATGTAGTGGCACCTCGGTGCACCCCTGCTGAAAAGAAGAGTAGATCCTTTGCAGAAGAAGCTTCCACACACACACACAAACAAACAAACACACACACAAACAAACAAACAAACAAACAAACAAACAAACAAACAAAACAGAAAAAACAAAACAAACGCCCATCGCTTGTCAACTGTGCTCCGATGACATCATTAATGCTGGGTCCTGTCGTCCAGTCGTGGCACCGCGCCGTGTTTGAGCCGGAACTAAGACAATGATTCTTGCACATGTGCTTCTGCACACGGGGTGATGAAGAACCCACACACGGTGCAAGGACACGGAGCGGTCTTTTGCTTTTCCCGTCTTGGCTTTGTGATCAATGTACAATCAGACTGAGCAACAGCACTCACAACAGGTTACAAAAGCTAGATTAGTTGGAAAGATCAGTGAGCTGATGATTTCACATGCTCTAGTAGGAGAGCCACTCTCATCCCATTGTTGGAAGAGCTCCCGACCAAGCTTGCACTCGACATGGATGGACGGTCAAGATTCCAGGACAGGCCTGAAGCGGACAAACGAGCTTTTAGATGCTTGTCAAAGTAGCCGTTCTCAAATCTGTTGGCTGCCAGGCCGAGTTATTCTCAGAATCAAACTTCCAGCCGAGCAAGAACATATTCTCGTACCTTCCGGAATGGTGTGCAACGGACGCTAGTACAGACTATGGCCTGTTCCCTTGGCTTCCCTTGGCTAGCAAGAACGAAGCGACTTCCACGAGAAACTCTCCATCATGCAACATCATCTACTCGCAAGAGAAGTCACGCAGGGACCAGTAGAAAAAGCAAGTGCACTGACCGCCAATGGCCCCCAGTCTTTGGGGCACGCTTTGTTGTTCCATTCGAACTTCTTGCGTGAGAAGCTCAGTCCTGAAGCACACTTCTAAAAGATGAAGGGAGCAGTTCCACTGCGATTTGATGTGTAGCGGCCACCTCTGCAGGAGCTCAAGCAAGGAATTACAGGTTGGGACCAGTGTACTTTAATGTGTTTTGCACAGTTGAGAATGTTGGGCCGAACCCTGCAACTGTGTTCCACAATTGCTCACATGCTTCTCAAGCATCCTCCTTTCGGTTTGAGCTCGCGTGGATTGTTGGAGACCCACTGGCCAAGCTTCGACCTCAAAAGGACGCGGGAAGCCCAACACTTCGAAAAGCTTCGTCAAACCATAAGCATTCCAAGTGGCGCATTGTACACTGCTGGTGTGAACCATGCACCATCCTGTCCACATGGGACAGGAGGAAACTCAAAAGAAGCCCGCAGAGAGCTGCGCAGGCCATGACAGCAGGATCAGTAGGCGCACATGATAAAGAAGCTCACGATACTCGTTCAACGGTGCTTGGAGGCAAGCGTTCACAACCTGGCAAGCTGGCCAACGAGGATCTGATCAAGCCTGCAATACAGCAACAATTCGCGCCTCGGACCCCGCATCTAGAGGAACATCGATGCACGTCACTAGCACTTGCGGCCTCGGCTGAGGTACGCTCAGCATGGTGGGCGATCAAGGTCTACGTCGCAAGCACAACAGATCAAAGGTACACTAGGTTGGCCAGGAAACCTAATAAGCGGTTTTCCCCAGAGCTATGGGTGGAAAAAGAAACATGGGTTGAAAGCCCCCACGCATCGTTCACCCCAAAAAGCTTCAAAATCCGCCTACTCCATCTACGCGCTGAACATCTATGCTCTGCCATGCTTAAGCCGAGCGAGGCTCCCCCTTCATACTCTTGGGAACATGAGCAAATTGAGCCAGCTTGTGCGACATAGTGCCACACTTGCGAGGGCAGCTGCCGCAAGCAGAACTCTGCCCACGAATCATGTGAACATCACAAGCCAATTACACTGATGTCAAGTGACCTGAACAAGCGTACTTACCATGTTTTTTTTACCCGACGTCGTGATGCCTTGGCCAAAAAGCATCGCTAGAGGGATAGGCACGGGATTGGGGCACCGTTCGAAGGAAACGCTTACTGAGGTGTGCACATGTCGGCTCTCATCCGCCGCGCGGCCTCCCACACGGCCTTCTGCATGAGCGGTGGCGTGCGGGTCTTTCGATGCCCGACATCAGAGCCATTTTCAAGCAGCCTTCTGGATGTCATTGCGTGTGGGGCCATTCCTTTGATCAGGCGCTTCACAAATGCAACCACGTGCCTGAATTCCCAACTTCGTAAAGCTCAGAGCCCCATAAGCATGCATTGCAAGGAACAGAGTTCCCAAACTTTACATGAGAAGCCGATGCAGGAACATCACTCCGAGGCACAGGCCCGATGTCCATTTCCCGACCGAAGCACCCTCTTGTTACAATGACAAGAGGGACGCCGTCTTGCAGGGATTGTCCTGCAAGAACTGATTGCAGATGTTCGGAGTCGCTGGCAAACATTGGCTGAATTCGGCTGAGCGTCCTAAAGCTTGCACCGGTGTTGGTGTTTCCACAGGGAGGAAAGCTTTTGACAACTGGAAGGTGCGAAGCCTCGGGCTCATAGGATGCTCTCATGCAGCATGACTCTCGCAGGCTGAGGGATGGGCAAGGCTGCCAAGTGCACTCCACTGACCTCTCGAGCTCCAAAGCTCAGAGAAAGTTTCAGCATTCACGCAACTTGCACCTGTGCATCGCACTGTCTGCTCAGTCGAGCTGCATAAATGCCCTTGAAAACACCGCTTGCATCCACTCCGCCAGCCACTATGTCGCACTGCCCGGAGCCGTCCTCCCAGCACTCTCGAGACAAATCCCACTTATCTTGCTGCTAAGTCTACGCTAGGCCGCTAGGCCATCACCGAGGCAAGCACACTCGTCCTGAAAATCTAGTCCGAACGAAACGGAAATTGTCAGCCTTTGCTCATGTACTGCGGGTACCTAAAAGCTATCTTTCGTCCTCCAACCATGGCTGCACGCGCTTCAGAGGTGGTGGCGCCAAGCCACCTCGAAGACCTTCTCAAGTATCGTGACCGTGAAGCTGCTTGAAGCTGAAAGGACATGCAAGAAAGAAGTGATCTCAGCATCTTCACATCTCAGGGTCTGGCTGGACGAGGTTTCGACGCCCGCACCGCCACCACCGCCACGCCGTGGAGCCATCCTGCCTTGAACAAGTGGGGCTTAGCGGGTTTTTTCAAGACACCCACCTGCCTCAACTGTAGATCCTTCTTTCTTCCTGTCATGCCTAGAAGAAATTACACATGACAGTTCGCTCACGACATCGTGCGGCATTCTTGGAAACATGCCCAAGGGAGCCCAAAAAAGGTTTAGAGAGACACAACAACACAGGCATGCGCTCCAACAAACTTGCGGTGATTTCAGAACTCTAGCGGCCTGCAAGCGCAGTGTTGCAGGTGGCAGCTGCGGCTCAAGAGCCCATTTGGCTAAGCTTGCAGTTGCAAAGGTCAGTTTCGACATGCAGTCAACGAAACGCCAACGCTAAAAAGCACGATGGTACAAACCCAAAGCTAAAGCGAAAAAGCAAGCAAAAAAAGAGCGACAGAGGGAGAGGAAGAGAGAGGGAGAGAGAGGGGGGGAGAGCGCGAGAGAGGGAGAGAGAGGGAGAGAGAGGGAGAGAGAGGGAGAGAGAGGGAGAGAGAGGGAGGGAGCGCCAGAGAGAGAGTAAACAAAAAAAGAGACAGAGAGAGAGAGAGGGAACAAGAAGTCAACGCAGGATGCAACAAAGAGAAGGAATGGGCAGCGCATGCTTCGTGGGAAGAGAAACTACTCGGACTCATGCAAGAGCAGGCTTTTCGATTCGCTCACAAAGTCGTCGCCCCCCGATTTCGGAGTTCTGTGCGGCCATGTGTCTGCGGATCTTGTAAGTCCTCACGCTCGAAGCAATAAAAGACTCGAACTTGTGACCGTACACAGCCATGCCTGCAGCAGTCTAAGTAAGGCACTGAGGCAGAACCTCCATTTTCCCCATTCTCTTGAAGACTTCTATTTCGGGAAAGCTCCTGCGGCAACCGAACAAGTCAGGTGTCCCGTTGATCATGTGTGCTTCCCATCACAGCCCACAGCTATGCCGCTGTGCAGGCTATGCAGTTACTCCCTTTCCCAACTTGGGCTACAAAATCAGAGATAGTACCTTGTTTGAGCAGATTCCTGAGTACATTGCCACCATGACTACTGGGCACAAAGAGCAAAGTCAGGCCAATCGAGGCCTTGCACCTTCTTCTACAGAGTGTGCTCATAGTCAGGCTCCCATAGAGCACAGACTCGGTCCTTTGCTACGCCCTTCTCCGCCTCCACTGCGCCGGTAACATAGAAGCACCTTGGATCATTTCAAAGAATCATTCTGCGCAGAAGAAACTCGAGACACTCAAGCCTCCTAAGTCCGCTAAGTGCCGGCACTTGAGAAGGGCCAAGCTGGGCAACAAGGTTCCGAATCCAATAGTCAAGCCCCACCTGTCTGCTGTCACGGTGGCAAACCACCAGGTATCAACAGGTCATTGCCGATTGAAGGAATGCACAAACACGTCAAGCCATGCCAGACAAGCTGGACGGAGTCGGGCAAAGCCTCAGACCTGCAGGACTCAAGCTCAGATGGTGACTGTATGTAACGCAGCTCATGTTCACAGTGCGCTGCAGCCTTGGGGTTCCACTTGCCCGCGAGAAGGAAAGAAGTGCCTCAAAGAAGCAAAACATTTTTGCTATCATTTGCTTCAGAAAGAAATTGAAAGAAAAGAGACTCAATTGTGTTAAAACAAAAGAAGCAGCAAAATCCTTTGAGCGTTCAAGTTTAGCCTTCAGGACACCCAGCCTGTTTTTATGCGATCATTTGCTCGCGTTTCAACATTCGACCAGTGCTTCCCATTGCTTCCCTATTCTTCACACGGTTTCACTGCCTTCCTGAGCACTGCTCAAAGGCTCAGCTATGCTCAGCTTCATGCTGTGCGACGGAGCATCACATACACTTGTACCTGCCAGGTAACTGCACAGTTTAAATTGCTCATGCACATTCCAGTGCACGGCCTTCTGCGGAGCGGTCAGGCGGATTTGAGACTGCTGAAATCTGTGCTTAGTCCTAACAATGCGTTCATAGCACAACTGACGTTCGCCAGAATGTTTCGCTATCTCTGCTGCAAAGCTCTGCTTCCGTTTGTACCAGATGTTTTTCCTTGAAGAGCCGAAAAGGGTCGGCAAGTTGAACACTGTCAGGCGGAAGGCGAATGTCTCAACGAGTGTTCACAGCTTTTTCTCCATCTGGCACAACATTGCGTCACCCTGATGTGCCTGGCTGGAAAGCTAAGCACAAGGCATTGAAGATGAAGGCAACTGCAGAACCCTCTCGCAGCCTCGAGGCTTCCTTGCAGCTCCTCACAGCAAGCATACTGACTGCCACCAGTCTAGCATTTGAAAAGATTGGAACAAGTTCTGGCCCCTCCTGCAGCCAAGCTTTGGATCTGCAACGCTCAGAATGTTGCCGGCGCACCTGCACAACCTCCAGATTTCGGGGGGCAGCAAGCATGCGCAATCCTCACAAGGCAAGAAAGGCCTGAAACACCGTGCCTGTGCCTGGCACAAAGGCACAGAGTGAGGAGCACTTCACATGGCCGAAGCACAAAAACAAAACAAGACAGTGCTGCTGGGGTCTGGTAACAGGCGAAACGCAATGCTGAGACCTGAAGTTGCAGATGCAATCCAGCTTCTTTCAAAACCCATATTGCATCATGAGCTGACCACCGTCGAAATCCATCGCCTGAGCTGGCTTGGCTGGCGGAACATGTGGAGGCCGGACATGCAAACGCATGCCAATGCAGGCCAACGAATGCCAATGCATCAATGCCAATTCCCTTTGACAACGCATGCCAGCTGTACCCAGTAGTTTGCGGTGTCACCTTTCGCGCGACTGCGAGACTGCGGCCTCGATGCACCCGGGCAATACAGATTCAGATGAAACTCCTTAAGCACCTTAGACCTTCAACGAAACTCAACGAATCTCTCTGAGAACCTCACGGCCTTGGATCCAGGCCTATGCATGTGAACTTTCAGATGCTTGGCTTCAATTCTAGGCATGAAGATCCCGTCAATAAACAGGATGAAATGAACATGAATTCATGAACACACACGGTCGGGCTATATCCTTCAAATTGTCAACAGCCTGCATTTGCGGGGAGGACTGATATAACCGCAAACCCCACACATACACGTGGCATGCATGGTCAAGGCATTGCCGGACACTTGTGGCAGCCACATGCCTGAGAATGGGATGGGGGGGGCACGTCCCCCTTTGTTTCTGGTAATGTCTCCGCCCTACATGGCCCCTGGGCCAATAAATAAACACATGCCAATGCCATTAGCCCTGCCCCACACACACGTGACATGCATGGTCAAGGCACGCGCGGACACCTTTGGCTGTTTCAGAATTGAGAACGGACCCCCCCCCTTGTCCCTGTCAATGGTGTCTCCGGCCAAAGCAGAGCCGCAGCCAAATCCGAAGCCGCCCGAACCGAACACCCAGCCCCTAAACAATGCGCGGATGGGCAACCTGAATCCCCACTTTTCGCAGGACGAAAGGGAAGCTCCCCTAATTAAACCCAACGACATACGTCTTTTGTCCGCCGCAAGGCAGGGTGCTTCCCCATCTGCAGTCGCTATCCCCCACCAAGCGCCTATCAGAGCCGTCTTTCTTCACAAGGCCCAGCTTGCCCGCGTAAGGGGCTCGGGATCATCTAAAGCCGACGACCACGGCGCGTCACGCACCGTCAACTCTAAGCTGGGCCGTTCAGAGCGATCGACCGCACACCAACCACCCGACGGCGGGATACCGACTGAATGCCAGTTGGTACGCGGATCGGCTGGCCGACAAGCCTTGCCAAACGTGGACAGCCCACATGCCTCTGAGGCAGAGCCACGCTGCATCGGCCATCAGCCCCACCCCACCCCGATGCAAACGACCCATAGAAGGTAGCACGCCATTTGCTGAAATGCAGCTATAGCGACAGATCAGGAAAATCACACTTGGTTTCCGCCAACAAGCTGCTAGCAAAGAACCACTTGCCAACATGCCGATGCTCTGGCACGACGTGCTTCGATCTGTGCAACCCCATGGCTCGCAAACATTCGAGCACATACGGGGCAAGGCCCACATCACAAAACATGATCGCAAAACGACGCGGATCCGCCTCAAAACACCGAGGATCCTGTTCGGAATGGCAACGGGTTTTGGGTTTTGGGCTGAAGGACGGCAAGTGGGGGCCAGGATGGGCCAGGCCAGCTGCTAGCACATCAGTGGCTCTCGAGATGCTCGGAAAAGCTCGAGCAACAGGCGTTGTAGTTGACATTCTAAACTGACATGCTTCTTCGAAAGAGTGCGTCCTTCATTCACAACCCAAAATGCCCGAAACCCGAAGCTGAGGTTCTGACCAAGGCTCTCCTCAACGGCGCGCTGTATCAGCCTATAGGCCCCAGCTCCGTCCAGTTTGCAATTGCGTTTACCGTCGCTGCGAAACTTGCTTTTGCTGATATCTCTAACGTGGCAACACGCATTCGATCACATGGGGAGATGCTTCGCACATTAAATTAAAACGTACACGAACGTCGTGCTTTGTCGGGCGTGGTTTCGTTTTGTGTCTGTTGGAACGTACGTAGCCTGGGGTGGATTTGTTTTCGTCTCGTCCTTCGGAACGCACTAAAGACTGTTTGGGGTGGCTTCGCTAAAGTACGTGTCTTAAAACGTCTGCAATCGTTGAAACGCCCAAAAAAATCGCACGCTAATGCCAGGCGATCAGTTTTCCCGTGAAACCTGAAAGGCAAACGAACCAATTTTAAAACTTGAAGCAATAAGCTCGCACAGCAACACGCAAAAGGAAGAGAAGCAACATCCCCTTATTGGGCTGGGGAGGGCTCGGGGCCTAGGGGGCAATAGAATGAGCACCAGCCATGGCAGCCATGGTCCCATGTCTTTGTCAATCCTCTCATACTTGCAAAACCCGCCCGATTGGGGGTGGCTTTCTGAGTGAAGATCATGCAGACTTAATCGCGAGTAAAACATCATACAGAATCAGTCGCGATGAACGTTTTGCATTTCCCTAGCCCGAAAACCAAAAGGCAACGACGCTTTCGAGCGGCAAGCGCGGCCATGCCCGCACCTAGGCGAGAGCCCGATTGTCGTCCAACATGCAAGCAAGCTGGGCACGCCACGCGGTGAGATCGACCAGCCGCCCGTTATGCCCTTTGTTGTTGATTCGCTGTTTGGGAGCTTCGTGGGTCTTGAGGACGGAATTGAGGACAGCTGACGCAGCAGGATTGCAAGAGTCAATTGCAACCGGGCGTGTATCTGTAGCTAGAGTGAGCTCCTCAGGAGTTGCCGTGCATTCAGGTAGACCGGATGCAACCTGCATTCGGCTTCGATGCCGGCTGTGACTTCTGACAGACGGAAGCTGGATGATATGAGTCAGGAACCAAGAGCCATGACAGTCTCGCATTTCGCAGGCCGTGTGCGCCGCAGGCTCGCGGGACCTCACCTATCTCGCCTCTCATACTCTTTAAGTTAGGATGTACTGTTTGAGGTCTAGGAGGTTTTCGAGGAGCATCGTGATGAATCTGTGCCTTTCCCTCCAGTCTTCTTCGGTCTTGGAAGCTTCAGGAGCTGAAGGAAACAACCACATGCAGCCGATACAGCCAGATGCCTGCCAAAACCTGTAGGACCGATAAGGCACGTGCTTGGCAGAACTCCCAGGGGAAGGAGGCTCTAATTGCGACTTGGTGGCAACCAGATGTGGCACAGAAGTCAAATTGTAAGCGCAGCAAGTAGGCAGTCGACACCATGGTCACGTTCATCAGGATAAAACCTGGCTCGCTGTTTCAGCGCTGCTTTTGAGGACTCTTTTGCAACTAGCAATTGGCCCAAAAGCACCAGCGACCTACACATTGTACCTGCAGTTGTCTTGCAGTTGGTGCAGCTCCATGAGTGCAGCTTCGCCTCAGCTCCGAATTTGCAACTCAGCATAGCTCAACTAGGTTCTAAGTTCTAACCGACAAGAGACGCACAGCTCACGGGCACTGCACTATTAGAGATGGAACTGGGCTCCGTGCTCCATGTAACTTCCATGGATGGTCGCGGCTGCGGCAGCCAATCTGCAAAATGGATGTCCTTTCACAGTGTTTGGCGCTTCTTGCATGTTATCTCTTTGAGTCTTCTGTTTGCTGCTATGGTCTTGACGCTTAGAAGCATGCCATGCTGCAGGTGCAAAGCCCAAAATCATCCCGAGGCTGCTGCCAAGACAGTGCCCCTAAAGCTGTCCAATCAAGTGGCAGTGTGAATTGCTGCCATCTCTCGAATTGGCATACTGATGTCTAATGTACACGGGTCATTGCAAAAACAGGTGAACTCGTAACCTGTTGCTGATCGAACGCGTGCAGTGAAACATGAAGCAGCGACGCTCACTCTGTGATCACGCTACCTCCACTGCGGCAGAATTGCCTTCGCAAGAGCAGTCAAACTTGCAAAACCCTAATTTGATGCGCCATGCCAAGAGCGATGTAATCTGGTTGAGCCGTCGCCCACTGCGTCTGATAGACTTCATTGTCGCAGTCGTATGCGAGCAACGGCGAGTCCACTTTTGATGGAAGTGCCTCTGCAACATCCCAAATGATTCCATAACCATCATCTGTGCCGCAAAGGAGATGATTACGTGAGTGCGGGGCCCACGAAATCGAGTTTACACAAGAATCATGATGGCAAAGCGTGGCAATTGCAACAGACGGTCTGCGTATGTCAATTAGGTTCACACCCGGTCCATCCATTGCAATAGCTGCAATGTAGTTTGTGTTTATCTTGTTCCATGACAGTCGCAGAAGTGGTGAAGGCGGCGATGCTTCGTATATAATTGTTGAATGATCAAGGTTTCTTTGATCAAAAAGGCGCAACGATCCATCTGCCCCAACAGAGGCAAACAGGCTGTCAACCTGAGAAAACGCTATATCGTACACTGCCTTGTCATGGGCGATCAGCTGCGTCTCAATCTTCATCTTGTCCAAATTCCATATTGTGCATGTTGTGTCGACAGAGGATGCCCCCAACTTGTGGTGGCTAATTGTACTCCAATCAAAAGACGTCAAGGGAGGCAAGTTTGCAGGTTGCTTTTGTGCTCGAGAATTCGCCAACTTCGCCACGCACTTGACCTGGCCCTCTTCAAATTTCCACAGGTTTAAGGTCGTCGTGGAAGAAGCTAGCAAATCAGTTCTGGTTGAGCTTTCACCCTCGGGTCGCCACAACAGTTTTGTTGGGGGGAACTTGTGCTCAGCCTCGCCAACGCATTCGAGGCGTCTGGTCTCCTCGTTCATCTCCACTATTTGTATGTAGTTCATCTCTTTCTCAAGGTTGCTCCCCACTGCTAAGCGGAATGCATGGTCTGATTTTGCAGACCAAGCTAGAGCATACGCTCTCCATTTCGTCTCATAGTCGAGTCGACTGGTTCCTTCCATAACTGAGCCACTACTTGAGCCGATGTAGCTATGAAGCGACAGCCCACATTCCCTTCTCTCTTCGCCTGGCTCGACCAGCCGATTACGAAGAACCTTCAGCAATATACGAAACTTCATTTCAGAACACAGGATGGGCCTCTGCGTCCACTCTTTCATGGCACTGCACGTCAGGTTGACAGCCGAACGATTCGACAGGATGGTACGGCTTGATGTCCAACCTTGCGTTGAGGCAGAGGAGCTGAAAGCAACTGTGCAACAACTGCACGACTTCCAAGCACGCAGCTATCCAGAACAGCGCCTGGTTCTTGATTAGTAAGGCCTGAGTCTCAAGCACAGCTGATCCATCGACCACGTCCACGCCGCTGACATATATTGTGCCACTCGCCTCACCAGATTTCTCGACATTCAACTTCATAGATGTCTCAATAGACATTCAAGTTCATAGTGTCATAGTCAGTGACTCGAGTCGGCCTGATCAACAAAATCCAGTCGGCATAAGGTCAGCCCAACGGGATTTGGACCTGATTTGGACATATGATGTTTTTCACGCTGCGGCTTCAGTCTTGCTGAAGCTTCGAGGCGCTTTCTCAAGTACTTCGGGGCCCCGGCGATGGGGAGATCGTGTTGCAAAGACCTGAAAAGGTCAAAGGAGTCGCCTGCATCCAAGCCGATTCAAGACGAATTGAGGTCTTTGACTTTCAAGCCCGTGGTCCGGACACCTCGCTTTCCTCGACGACCATCATCTCCTGCAAGACGTTATCTTGTGTTGATGACTAGAGAATTCATGCCAACTAAGCCTTACGCATACCGATTTGTAACATGCAGGATTCTGCCAGGCCATGTCGCCCGAATGTAGAAAGCGAAACTCATGATGCCTGTGAACGTCCCACACACATTTGCGCCTATCATCGTCTATCACACTCCTCGAAGTTGGCACTGCTGCTGTATCTGCTTGCAGCACTTTGTACTTAAGTTCGGTCGAGAAACATGAACACCTCGCAGCCGAAAAGGGCTTTGCAACTTTAAACCAAACTTCAAAGTGGCTCCCGTTCCACGGGCGAAGACGAGCCCATTTACCCTGGAGCTGACATTACTCAACGCTTATTCGCTGTGTCAAAAGGCAGGAACATGAGATCAGAGACCCAAGTTCTTGACCATCTGTTCTCTACCGCTTCAACCTAAACTATCGAATGCCACAAGCCTACTACTGAAATCGCCAACTACAAAGATCGAACCCTGCAAGGGAATGATGCTCTGTAACACCAGCACTACCTTGACTACCTTGACTACCATCTCTACAAAGCATCCTGCACCACCAAACAACGCAATGCATCAACATAAGCCATAGCCTGCAAGCCATGGGGGTCGCACGGTGGGCCTTAGCAGCTGAGCATGCTCGGAAAACGTGCCAATGGGCTCCCATGGGGCTAGGATGGCGTAGGGGCACGCAGTGACCAGACAGACTGAGATCTCCTGGAGACTTTTGCATCATTCGACGCGTTGGGAGGCATCTGCAAGTTGTCTTGCTTGACTTCTTGTGTAGCTATACAACGCATGCCTACGGCACCTCGACACCATGCCTATGAAATTCTCCCTTCCCCTGCTGCTTGTACCACAGAAACTCGCTGCCCCGGAATCTTGACAGTACCCACGGGTGGCGGAATAAGGACAGTTCCATCCAGCGCCATGGCAGCCTCCATGGCCGCGGAAGAATCCAGCTGTACTGCTACAATCGAGTCAGACACTCGGAAGGAGAAGGGTGGACTGAATCCAGCATTGATGAACAATGCGTTCACATCAGACAAACTCGACGTTTTCGGTACGTTCCGAACGTGCACCAGGAACTGCTGCTCTTCCAATTCTTCCACCACATCAGAATCATGGTCGTCTGCGCCCTCATTGCTATCATTCGCCATGTTCCGGAGGACTCCTTCCCTCGTCTATGCCAACTGAAAAGTGTATTTGATTCAAGCTCGCTGCTCAAAGTTGCTCAATTGCCATCGTGAATGGCTATGTGCACTTCTGGTGGAACCACGTAGCCACGGGCTTCATGCGGAACAAACATGTACATGTACATATGTATATATATATATATATACATAAATAAATAAATATATATATATATATATATATATATTCATATTCATATTTATATATATATGTATATTTAGATTATATATTTGTATTTTTATATATTTATATCATATCATATCATATCGTATCGTATCATATCAATATATATATATATATATCATATCTGCCAAACAACTCCGAGGTCACAGCTTCAGGAACGAGCTGGCAGGGTCAAAGGATGCATTACCTCGGTTCATAGCAACTAGCGAAAGATGTTGTAAAATTATAAAGGCTATAAAGACGGGCATGACGTGCAAGCGCACCCACATTTTGTTTACTGGGCCTGAAAAGCCCACTTCTCCTCCAAGCTGCAAAGCCAAGTCTACTGAACATGGTGTAAATGGCGAGTTCCAGAACTCATTTACCCGTGGCTTCGACCAAGATGTTGCAGTGAGAGAAGAAAGCCCCTGGCTGTGCTTGTTCTGGTCGAAAAGGAAAATCACCCAAACATGGGAAAATGCCTGACCGACGATCCGCCATTAATGATGCAGTCTGCCCTTCTTTTGACAAACAGCAAGCCTCGAGGCCCTCGAGGTACTGTCCACCACCGGCAGTGTGCGTCAACCAGTCTGCCAACCTGGACCATCTTGAGCCAAGTTGCAGTCCTCTTTCAAAAAGCTCTCCGACGGACTATCGGCCCATGGCCATGGGCAACTTAGCCTGCGGCTGGATTTGTCCACGAACTGTTGGCGCTGCAAGACCCTGTCGGAAATGACTTGCATGAACAAACTACCTCAACAAAACATCGCAAAATGTAAGTGCATCCTGCACATCTGCAGTTGGACATCACATCGTTGCGGCACAATGCTTTTGCAAGCGATCCCACCGTCCAACAGCAAGGAGGCTGCACCATGTTGTGGGCCTGAGATGCCCGCTGGCCTCACCTTTACGGTTATTGCACTGCGTTGTCTTCCCATCATCTCAGGTTTTATGGCCTCATGGAACTATTTGAGGCTAGCAGAGTTTCTCGAACGAATATCCAGCGAACAGCCTTCCCAGAACTCGCACTAGCTCTTTCTGAGCCAGGTTCGAGTCCAAGGCCTCACTCGGTGCAGACTTCCACAGCACTTGAAACATATTTCAAATTGTTTCAAGTGCTGTCTTTGGGATCGGTGAGCACTGGCGAGCATCATGAGCAGCAGGCCGCCGGGGAGATGCACACGTAGCAAGTACGCACAGTACGCCCGTTGAGGACGAAACCAATATAGCCTCCTACACCCCAGGACTCCAGGACTAGACACTCGAAGCACCTTTTCGAATTCTTAGGCCAGTGGATGCTGGACAGCACCTGCCGTGGACAGCCGAACGCAGCTGGGAAGCAGGAGCAGAAGGTTCCTGTGCAAATCGAAGATTCGGTACGATGTCAGGCAGCTAGGGGAGTTGTCAATGCATCCTGCCAGCCCGGTACGGGGCAGCAATTTAATGTGCTTTAGTATCGCATGTGGCGATTGCGTGGTGCAAAATGGCATGCTGTCCTAGCCTATTCTGGCCAGCTCGAAGGTGTCGGGGCCATCCTAACGAAGCGGATAATGCCGAAATACGGAAACAGAATGAACCAGGTCATGCTCATGCGACCTGACATTGCCTGACTCAAACGAACCGACACATCGCATCATGAACTCTAGCACAAGCCAGCCAACCCATTAATGCATGCCCTAAGCCCTCACTGCCTTGCGATCGGACCTGCCTGCCCCATGTTGGGGATAGCCCGCTTGGCCTTCTAGCATGTTGCCTCTTATTGTCGTTGCATGTCTCTGAAGTTGTTTGCCTGCTGTTGCACAGCTTGTCTCTTTCTGAAGAAACACCATCTCAGAACGCGCATCGAACACTGAAATGATATGCCAGTCCACTTTGGAAGCTCGAACCGAAGTTGGTGACTTTGGCCAAGTGTCGTCAGATCATGTCACACAGCACAGGAATTCACATTGGCTGCTACAGGCATCGCGTCTTCTTTATTGCATCGATTGCGCCATCGACAGGTTCTGAGACGCGTGTAGCCGACCTTAACAAGATACTGACATGCTCAACTCCAAGCCTGCACATGATTGCCGCAAAAGGATGAGGCACCACGTTACCACTGCGGCAGTAGATTGCAGTAGTGCATTCCAGGAACGTCTTGGCCAGCCGTCGCATGAAGTAGACAGCGACTACCACGTCAAACAGCGCAGCACCGCAAGTAGCCAAGATGATAAGACTCTTCGTAAACTCCTCCTCAGACTCCTCAGTCATGTCCAGGTCCTTGCGGTCCTTACACCATGTCGTGCCATCAAAGAGGAACAGAAAACACCAAAGCCAAACGGATTTCTTACGCATGCACAACTCCTTCTCTATCGTCGGATTGTCGTTCTGCTGCTCCGCTATGAGGACCTGCCGCATGAAAGGCTATGCTACGGATTTGCAATGGGGCATTCGTTGGTGCAATCCACAAGGATCACAAACGAAACTGCTCCTAACTTTCCTTTGCCAAAACACCTGCTTCCATGTGTCCGCAGCAACACGTTCAAGGAATCGGACCGTGTACACAGCGCCATAGAAGTGGAGCGGCACCTCGGAACAAGCTCTGTGCCAACATGGCAAACAGTGGCAAACACGTCGGATTCTGTCAGTCGGAACGTGACAACATGTGGGCATGCATGAGGCCGAGAAGCAAAAGCCACGTTCATGAAGCTTGCACAAGCCAATACCCCAGCCTCCTGACAATGCTTGCAGGCAGATTCTGCAGAACCTGCTGTTATGAAATCGTTTTCGGCCAGGGGTATAGTCACCCACCCAATCAATCATATGTAACGAATCAAACGTCTGTCCGTGACCGTAACCGAACAGACATGTTCGGGGCATGCACAAACTCCAACCAATCCTCCTGCAGGTCTCCGGAGATACCCCAAGCGGCCAGTCGACTCTGCAAGTCCGAAAACCGCATAGACGCCAACTCAGAGCAATCGAGAAGTGCAAAGAAGCATGCAGCATCACATCTTCTCACCAACAGACACACAGACATTCATGACAAACACAGTCGATAAAATCAGCAGGGGCGAAAAAGGAGCAACGGCTAAGTGCGTTCATCAACGATTTGAGATGACCCGAGTCTCTTCTTGAATGCGAGAGCTCCAATTCCAAGCACATGCTGCAGAATCTCAGAATTTTAAGAATCATGTCATGGCAAGGTCGTCCGTTTTCCAAATCTTAACTTTGGGAGAGCAGAGCCTATCAAATGACCTATTTTAATTTTTCGTTCTTTTGCAGAACCCCACTCGTATGGGGGAATTCGTTTGACAAAGCCTTTGGGCTCATTGCGAGGTCGGCTGGTTCGCATAAAATCTGGAGTGCGACTGCATGTGCTGGTTTGGAGCCATCGATGGGGAACTCCTTTGGCTTCACAGCAAAAAAACAAAGCCAAGTTCTTACGGCCCTGTGGAACAGTGTCTGTGATGTGTTGCTAAATTGCCCTGCGTGGCTTCTTCATGAGCCAAGGGCCTTCGGAAGCAACTCGTGCAACGATCCATGTGAAAGGCCTCTCGAACTTAAGAGCTACGTCATCAGCTTGAGTGTTTGGGAAGGCAGTGAATCCAAGAGTTAAGGAAAACTAACTCTGAAGATAATTGACCGGCATCGGGCCGGCTCGACGCCCCTTAGGTCCAGCACAATTAACTCTCGATTTAATTGCCTGTCAACGTCGCGCGACGTAGCATGCCATGCGGGCAAGCTGCTCAAGGGAAACAATTAAATCAGGATGTAATTGTTTCTGCTAGACGACCCCAACCACAATTAAATCATGATTTAATTGTTCCCCCTACCTTTCAACAAGTAAATCACGATTTAATTGTTCCCCTAGAGTAATAGTAATAATCATAATGATAGTGATAGTGATAATAATAATAGTAATAGTCATAGTCATAGTGATAACAATAATAATAATAGTAGTAATAGTAATAATAACAGTAGTAATAAGAATAATAATAGTAACAAAAATAGTAATAAAAAAAACAACAATAATATTTATAGCAACAGCAATTAAAGTAATAGTAATAGCAATAAGAGTAATAGGAATAATAATAATAAGAGTAATAGTAATAACAATAATAAGAATACTAATAATAATAATAGTCAAAGTAATTATCATAGTACTCGTAATCATAAGACTAAGAGTAATAGAAATAACAATACGAATAGTAATAGTAATAATAATACGAATAGTAATAGTAATAATAATAGTAATAATAACAATAATAATAATAGCAATAGTAATTATAAAACGAATAGTAATAGAAATAATAATCGTAATACTAATACTACTAGTAATAGTAATAATAATACTAATCGTAATCGTAATAATAAGACTAATAGTAATAGTAGTCATAATAGTACAATTAAATCATGATTTAATGGTGCAAATAGGTACCAATCAGCACAAGTCTCTGCTATACCATTAACTCAGGATTTGATTGTCTTCCAGTCAAACGCAAAGAAACACAATTAAATCTGGATTTAATTGTGTCGTTGGAGGGGACAAGGTATGTCGAGGCAGGTCAAAACCCAACCCAAACGCAACAATTAAATCAGGATCTAATTTTTTTAAACTTCTGGATTCATTGGTTTTCAGTGTTGGAAGGCCACCGTTTGGGCTCCTTCGCATGAGGACAGAAACATAGGGCTGGTCTGCCGCTGTGTTCAAAAATCATCTTCACCTTTTGTCATATTAGCAAGAGCACGGGCTTTGCCGCGCTCCTGCCAAACTTACTTTGCTTTTTGAGGTGTCCCATGCGGACATCGCTCATACTCGTGTTTGTGTGGGATATGCAACTCTCGAGTACTTTCTCTGTTGAAGACATTCCCAAGTCGGTTTGGGAGCGAGAAACCAGTGTTGGATGAGGGAAAGCGAACAAGAACATCGATAGGACAACTGCATATCTTACTAGGCTTCTTCCTTGGTCATGCTGACCTTGTCCGACTCCATCAAAAGTGTGCGTGTGTGTATTGCCATCGACGATCGAGGTGGCAGGACCATAATGGTGGCACCAACAGTTTCAAAGTACGGCTCGGGGAAGTACAAAGGCTACAAAGGAGGAGGATGCAGTAGGCAAGTAGCAGAACTTGAACCCAGAAAAAGTGGCACCGTCGAAAGTGTCATGCTGTCATCATTGGTAGGCCACAATGCTGGCAGCTCCTCACCCTCTTCTTGCTAGCAAAGCTCTGTTGCGGAGGCAATTGTGCAAAGATTGGTAAGTTTCGCGCAGAGGAAATATGCAAATCCACACTTGTCAATTGGACCTTCCGCCAGTTGGAGCAGCCGCCCACCACCAGCAAAAAACTTCCGAAGCATCGCACGACCGCGAGCTCCCAGCCAGCGCCATCTGAACACAGCCACGCAGGCAGACATCATTGACCGCTTGGCATCTGGATCCGCCGTTGCGGCCTTGGCACTTGTGGCTCCGGATGCCTTCGGCGCTGCCCTCATGCCCTCCAGCCCTCCAGCCCTTCAAACTTAAACGTCACTACTCATAAGACGCATAAGACCTGTTCACATCCAAGTGGCAACCAATAAGGGCGAAACCTGCGGCAGTCGGCTCATCTGACTCTGGCTTCCATGCAGCAACAAGCTTGCAAATAAAGACATGCAAGGCTTTGCAGAAAGCCTTAAGTAAAGATAAGCTGGGCATCCATTGAGATGCTCGCGCTGCCAGTGCAAAGTTCAGCGGCTGCCGCAGTTTGAAGGTGGAGCGCATCGTAAGCCAACCTACCTTGGCTAGGCACTTCAGCTGGCCGTGCGGCAATATTAACCAACCCATCATCCTCACAACACCCTGACGGACCATCCCGGAGGCGACCCTCTCCTGCTGACCTCAGTCACACTATGTGAGCCATAGCCGAAACTACACAATTTCCTCCGCCAACACCGATTGCTGCCGATGATAAAGCGACGTCACGAAACTACAGAGTAACAATGAAAGCTTGATGCACCTGCACAAACGCTGACAATAAGCAGCAAAGTCAGGTGCTGCAAGAAATCCTTGAAGTTGGGCGTTCGACGACAAAAATGTAAAGGCCGTCAACCACGTCATCGTGCTGGTGGCATTGAAGAACACAACCTTTGGTGCACAAACACAAGATGCCGAAATCTGTGGGCTGTGAACACTTGGTGTGAACATGGTTGCCACTATGCAACCACTGCAAGCGGTCTCCGTGACAGCACCTGTCAGACAAGGAATGTCATACCACCAAAGCATTAAATCAACTACTTGAAATGCAAGCCGACGCCAAAGAAAGCTAGCGCACGTGCACGGCGCGGGCTTAATCCGAAACCCAACCCCTCAACTCCTTCCCCCCAACACCTGAACCAAACCCCGACCCCGGGCACCCCAGGGGAGAAGCGATAGTGAAGGCTTTGTTTCGCATTGTTTTCAAAGAGCCTGGCCACCCCACCACTCCTATACCACCGCCCACACCGCTTCACCGCGCCCCCACCCCCCCGCCCTCACGCTCTCATCGCACTAGCCGCGAACGCTTCTGACCACTCTTGCCCCCTGGACCATTCCACCATCCGCATCGCTTTCACCGCCCTTACCCTTCCTATCCACACCCACGCGCCACCACCGCCCCGCACTGCTTTCACCACTGTTACACCCCTGCCCATCACTGCCCATTCCGCTGCCCACACCGCCATCATCCCTTCCACTGCCTCCCCATTCGGACCCCTGTAGCACCCGATTTTTCCGTTCCATCCCAAATGTTCGCCGTCCTTCGCCCCTTCCCCCCCCACCGCCCACACCGCCCTCAACACCCCCTCAGTGCGGCTCCACACCCTGCGCTTTCATTCGACCATGCCCCGCCATGCTCCCACCACGCCCACCCTTCCTTTGAATGTTTGAAGTAACGGACCGGACCACCCCACATGGTTATCTATGGTGCAGGGGGCAAGGGTGTGCCTGAGAGTCTTCTGCCGACGAAGGCGCTTTCTACGCACAGACGGGACGCCATCTCCACGTAGCTGCATGTGATTGTCTTAAAGATGCTGCATCACAAGCTGCATATGGTGCATCATCGTTGCTGGTTACTACTTCAGCAAAACCGTTTGTGAATGATTGATCACGTTAGTGCTGCGCCACCTCACAACAAGTCAACACGTGCTGTCAGCCGTCTGGCCGAGAATGGTTCCTGCCGTAGCATTTGAGCTTGAATCACATCTCACGTTGTGGCGTTTATAGCGTTGCGGATTCAGCCGGCCTGCAATTGGCACAACACTGGCACAATCAAGCTACACCTCAACCACGATGCGACAACAACTTTAGAGAGGTTTCTTGTCACGTTTGCGTGAACAGGTACTCAGAGGTGGATGACGTGAAGGAGCAAGTCTCTCAGGCGTTTGCAAGGGTGCGCATGCAAGACCCTCGCAGTTTCCATTTTGGTGGCACATTGATCACAGTCAAAGTCAACCAAACTGTGGCAGCGTGAGAAAATTCTGACAGAACATGCAGTCAAATGCAACAACCCATGCCCTGGATACTATCAATTCAGCGATGCTCCCAGCCGAAAATGTTACACAACACCACCTCGACACATGCTGTGACAGAATCACAAGCTCGCAGCTTTCCGGACCTTGTCCGACCCTACGACGACGAAACTCCCGACTAGCTCTGCTAGCTGTTGTGATAAGCCATGTCCCCGTCCGACCTCGTTCCACACACAGCAGAAGGTGGCCCAGCGTTGGGCATCTTGGTCCGGAGGTGTTGGCGGCTCATTCGCAGTCGCAAACCTGGTGCAAGGTTTTACTCGCTACACCTTCAACGACGCTCAACGAAGGCCTTGTAGACCAAAGAAGGTTGCAGTCCATTTGATTGCTGCGCTACGTGAAGCCGAGCCTGTGCAAACTGGCACCCCATGCCCGACAACTCCTCACAGCATGGTGTCCTCTGTGCGAGGACAAAACCTTCGTTGCGCATCCACCCAATGCTGTGCCGCTGCGTATTGCCAGCATGCCATGGCGGGCGACGAGGCTTGTCGAAAACCTAGCTTTTCAACCTTCCACGTTTAAGCTCGATGACTCGATGACTCAATCACATGTAGGGACTCCACAATCTGAACAATATGCAACAATATCATCAATCATGCATTGGTGGCTGCTCATTGTGCGGAACTGTATGGATCTATGACTGCACTTCAGATGATGTCGTGATAGGTCTAGGGAATGATGCAAAGGAGCGTGTGCAGCAAGGCACCACCCACGACAAACGTCTTGCATTCGGGATGCAGTGAAGACAAGCCTTTGAAGCAGCCTCCAAACTAAGGTCAAAATCGGCTTAGGCCCTGCAATTCTTGCTGGTGGGAAAGCTAAGGTCTACGAAGTGGAACACAAGTGCAGACAGTCAGGCAGACAGTCAGACGTGCAAGCCGTAGACCCCAGAGACAGACGAGCCAAGTCTCTGGCCCAATAGACAGATACGGTAGTCTGTTTCACCGTGCGACCTCGACTTTTTGCAATGTCGACTAGCGCCACCATGGATTTTGCGGCCTAGTGCTAGATTGCTCGCCTCACATCTGTCAACGAACGTCAGATGATTGACGCAGCTCCACTTCTGTTCACTTGCTTCGCTTCCAGGCCACATTCACTATGACGCGCAAAAACATCAGTCATGCAAGCATGAGGACATGTAAAGCGTCTCGGCCGTCCCAACCAGCGATGTGCATTCTTGCCGGGAGCAGAAGAAAACATCCACGGATCATTCAGACAGTGCTAGAATATTCAGACAGTGCTAGAATATCGCGCTCTAACTTTTCTCGTTGCTTGCCACTGCCTCTGTGCCATCGTCCCTGTCACTGTCTGGATAGAAACGTCCAAAGCAAGCCTTGCACACCTGCAACCATCATGTCATGCAACACCAGGCTGATGGCTTTCATCAAATCACTCGCCTTCACCATGTGCTTTGCATTCGCATCTTCTGATGCCTCTCGGGCAATGACGAGCGAACTCTGAAGGGAAAAAAGATCATGGGTTGTGATCTGTGTCGGCCTTACAATGCCAGCAGGTGGCCTGCATATGTCTGTATTCTACCACACTATCCCCATGCCCTCCAATCCATGCCGCTGAAATCTTGGGCAAGAGGCGCCACTGCCAGAAGCATTGTCATCATCCACAACCCAGAAGCAAGCTCGAAACGTGCTTAAGGTGTTAATCATCTCCCATCAATTCTGAGAAGGAAAGCAATCATTCATGCTTGCTTCAGCGAACCATTGCCAGCACTCAACGCAAAACATGTTGCGCCCGTTTCCCGTTGCCGCTCGTGATCTTACCATGGCATCCGCTTCTCCTTGTACCATGTACTACCAACATACTTACCTTACTTACCTGCTACATCGGACACTCCGAACACGTCGTTACATCAGGGCGGGCCCAGGCGGAGTCCAGCCTCCAGAGCACGGAAAAATCCCTTGGGTAGCTCTGCTGAGAAGCCGCTTCTGCCTTTGATGAGCTGGGTTTGGGAAGGTATTGCAACAATGATTTAAGAAGTGAATCTCAGCTTGCCACTGGCGAAACTGGAGCAAGCTGCGTGCAACCACAGCATCCATGACCTTTCCCGCTGAACCTGGCTCGCACATGGTGGCCACTCAGCTGCACCCGACCCGGACATTACAAGAGACTGTCCGGGGAGACCGAGTCTAGAGGAAGAAGATCTGTGTTCCAAGCATCATGACCTCACACGCAAGAACACAAAGCAGTTCCAAAACATGTGAAACAACATCCACTCAAACATCCTATCAAGCATACTCGACATCGTGATGTGTCATGTGATGTGTCACTCACTCGCCGTGACTTGAGTGTCTCTGTGACTTGTGTGTCTTCGAGTCTTCTCGCTCTGCAGTTACGCTGCACTTTTCCCTAACTTGTCATTCCGCAATTCTCAGTGCTGTTTTTTTTGCCCTCGCAAGATCTTCGACATGGATTTTCTCTGATGCTATCTAGATGTACGAGCTAAGTTTTGAAAGAAAGAGCTCACTTGCCCGCAGAATCCTCCAGATTGCGCGCCCAAAACTTTATGGCAAGCGCACCGTGTTCAGAAGTCGCTAGAAGGCCGCAGAGCGCACCACGCAGCATCAGTATGACAAAGTGTGATGAAGTGGCCGGTGAGTTCTGAGGCAGAAGGTATAGCAAGTTATCATGTAACGTAACGATTATGTCGCCTATGTGATCCAAGAAGTAGATCCTTACAAGCATTGCCTGCAAAAGCAAACGCTGAGATGCAGGCCATGAAGCACGGATTCAAGGATGCTGGGCTCCAAGACCTGTCTCGTTCTGTCTCTGAGCCCAACCGTCCCCAAGCTTCCCTGAGGTGCTGATGCGCTTCAACAGACCTTGGGCTCTCCCTAATGTTCATCCAGGCTAAGGTTTCTTGCGTACCTCCCCCTCACCCCCATTCCACACCCCTTTGCAAGGCCCTACAACTCATGTTTGCTCATGATAGGGCGTGCCTCCAAATGCCACAAGAGCCACGCAAAAGAGCAAGAAACCTCTGCGCCACCTGCTTGGTTATGTATGCCACATCTGACAGGGACAGACCCGAAATGCAACACAAAAAGGCACTGTCCCCCTATTCCAAACGGCTGCTGCGGCTGGGCTTGAACGGATATGAAAGGCTCAAGAAGAATCTGGTGGCCTGTTCGTGCGTAGCCATCTCTGGCGAGACATTCTGCAACGAACAGCCTTGTCATACAAAAGGCCCCAGCCGATGCTTCGTACCGACATTATCACAATGTACCACACTCAAAGACACAAAGATGCTTGCGCAGATTTCAACTTGACGATAGATGCCTCCACGAATCCGATGATTGAAAACATCTGTGGCTTGCATCCGCACATCTGCAACAAGCATATGACTGCGCCTCTTCCAACTCTGTCTGCACTTCTCCTTCTCTTGCCTGCGAAGCCAGCATGCGAAATTGAAAGAAGCTAACTGATATGATGTGAATGAATGCACAACCTGCAAGCGCCGTAAAGAGTCGCAAAGATTTGCAAGTGCTTGCACGTGTGCATGAGTGTCAGCGTACCTGGAAGGCAGTGAGGCCTTGGCAGTGCTCGCACCATGGGTATGGACGGCTAGAGAATAAATTGCCGAGCTCTGTACACTCCTGGAGAAGACGAAGCTGTGTCTTTGGCCTCTTTCATTCTTCTGCGCGCCGTACTAGGATGTACTAGCCATGGGGCAATTGTTGGAGCTTAACTTAGGTTGCGACGGTAATCTGACCCCCATTTGCACGGCATCCTGACGTCCACCGATGATGCCAAAGTGCATAAAGGAAGGCACATGAGATCTTCGCACCTGGAACAATACCATTGCCTCGACCAAAGCATCCTTGAAGCCGCCATGCAAGGGCGACCGCAACAACGGGTGGCAGCAGGCAACGAAGCAGAAGCACACAGCAGCAGCAGCAGCAGCAGCAACAGCAGCAGCCTCATCCGGGAGCATAAGCATTGCTTGTATAGCCAAGTTGTACAACGGCGCCTGATACGAATGTCAGGCACAGTTGCGGCATTCTTCTTCCATCCCTGAAATGGCTTTCCAAGAAAAAGGCGAAAGCAGGCGACCACTGCCTCCAACGGAAAGCGCCAGTCTTCTCTCAATCTTTTCGCAATTTCCTGCCGTCACGCTGCCAACACGCATTGGTGTTAGCTCTAATGTACCGCTGCTTCTGCGGCCATGACCCTGACGATCAAGGGCTTGCCGTCGTCCAAGAAATGCGACATGGTCTTAGCAAGATTCTGAAGGAACTTCTTCGGTTCAGCTCGAAACTTGAGATGCGGGCAGCATAGACAACTGGTGCATCCTCAGATTGCCCGCGCAACTTTTGATTCTAAATCGCCCCTGTGCAGTGACCCTGTGTTGCGGACCCATCGTTTGTGAAAATGACACATTCAAAACATATTCTGAGCTTCCGTCTGGCGGGTGCTCCAACCACGTACCATACAGACGAACCAATTCGACTGCTTCCGACCTTCAACTCCTAACTCTGCAACTGGTAGAACTCCCGATCTCAGGCTACTGCTGTGAGACTGCATGCTGAGACCAATGCTCATCCCCAGCTTGCATTGAAGCCGCCAGCAATCGCGTCCTGTCAAGATGACTTGAACCCGCCGCCCACGTGTGCAACAACTGCTGCACATCTCTACGTGGTCGTGAGCAACATCTAAATCTAAGGGTTTCGCGATATTTCGTGATGTTTCAACTTCACGCCGAAGTTGTAGAACATGTTGACTGTCTGCATGGCCTTGGCAGATGCGATCATGATGCTCCGCGTGCCAGAAATCGCGACAATCGCCAATTGTCGGCATCATTCATTCGATCTTAGAGCCCGTCTGTTTCTAGATCCTTTTTGTTTTGCACGCCTCGAAGAATGTCGTACAAACTCCACACGCCCACCTGTCGACGAACCAACTTGAACACTTTTAGGAAAGAGAAGCAATGATATCGAGAACGGCAAATTGTCTCACAGCTTGCTGCGACAGGTGGCCTGCTTGTGATTTACCACGCCCGTATATCCAAACTTTTGCTTCAAGTCCTGCATGTGCTGCGTGCAGCTTCAGCTGAGGCGAACACTTGTGCAGTCCGCAACATTTGCACCTCAAACAAAACTCGAGGCGCATCTTGGCCTGGCATTCGGTGTCCCATTAGCACCAGTAACTTCGGTTCAACATGCCAAGACGTCCAACGGTGCTGGAAAACGCTCCATATTTTCGCAGAAGTCCTGCCGAACTCAAGACATTTGCAGACAGTGCATGGCAATCCAACGAATGTGTTTTGGATCCTCCTCCTCGTCGTTGCATGCAAAACGACATGGCATCTCACATACCCAATTACTATAACTCGTGCTCATTTGCAACTCATGATGGAAGATTCCACGCAAACACACAGGACTGCTGGAACTGAAAGCCCTTGTCATGCAGCCATACAATGCATGCCAACTGTCCTCCTACCAGTTGAAATCTTCAAGACTTGAATCGCACGGCTTCGACATCCATGAAAATTACGTGTGCACACGCTTGTACGTGTTCATAGCAGATTAAACATTGGTGTCCACCAGCAGAGCACTGAAATGAGAGCCGGCCGACATAGCCCTGTCAACCAACCTTGTTCACTTGGGTCCGCTATGCCGAAAACTGATTGGATTCAATTGCTTGGTAAATACCGCACTGGTTTGAACACGAAACACAGGCGACCGGTGAACAATTGCTTTGGATGAGAGTTTTGCTGCACCGCACCAGTTGCACAGAGGGATGTCACATTCCAAAAAACGACAGTGCGGCCTGCAAGGACCTTTTGCTCAGGCTTCAGCATCGAGGAAGGCGACGACGATCAACAATGATGGTTTGAGACAAGTATGCATTTAACGCTTCCGCCCGCCCGGCAGCTCTGGCTCCAAGGCTAAGTGCTCACCAAGTACCCACCGCCGTCCCCTACCTAACCGTCCTTCTGTCTTCCTTGCCGCACTGCCGTTCTTCGCTGTGGCCTGCTTGTGTGGCGGTTTCTGATCGATCAAAGCATCGTTTTTCCGACTCCGTCACTAAGTGATGGCTCCATGCCCTGTCTCTAGGACGAGCCTGGGTAGACTAGGTAGACTGGACTCTCTGGCTGATACCGGCGAACTCCGGTCCAGCATTTCATTCTTCTGCACCTCCGGTGCTTCGGTTTCAGCTGATATTTTTCAAGCACACGCCAGGAATCTGGATGTCAAGCTCGAGTGGGTGTGTATACGCACGCAGTGTGGCAGGAAAAGCAGTTCAGGGGACAAAGCAGAGCGATCGAAGGAAAACCCGATCAAGGTCGGGTCATAAGCGCGACTCAGCGCATCGGCGAGGTCGTTCTTGAAGCCTGGTACGTGATCAATGTGAACGGGATATGTACTGGCGCTCCTGCAACAAGAAGAAAGAACGGAGAAGAGAACAGAGGCCTTTCGCCAGTGAAAGTCCTTTCCAAGAGGCCGCATCCGACGCGGACTCCGGTCCAGCATTTCATTCTTCTGCACCTCCGGTGCTCTCGGTTTCAGCTGATCTGGATCTGCTTCCCGCCAAAATGAAAAAAGGGAAGTCCGCGAGTCGCCTTTTCGCATTCACCTTGATATGCGCATTCGTAACGGACCAGTGACTAGTGGTTGCTGTGAACGTGGATGTACTTGTACACGCATGTTTGCAGCTAACACGCAACGGCCCAGAGGTCGGTTACTGCATCGAAAAAAAAAGTGTTCACAGCAACCACCAGTCCGTTACGAATGCGCATATTAAGGTGAATGCGAAAAGGCGACTTGCGGACTTTCCTTTTTTTACATTGGCTGAAAGCAGGGGGCATGATCTTTACGAATTTTTCGAAGGGGGCTTGAGCAAGGGGAGGCTTCCTCGAATTCGAATTCGAGGAAGGTCAGGGGGTCCCCGGGGGGGGGGGGGGGCGAACAATGAAGGCTTGAGAAGGGGCTTGAAGGGGGGCTTGAGAAGGGGGGCTTTCTCAAATTCGAATTCAAGGGGGGCTTCAGAAGGGGCTTGAAGGGGGGCTTGAGAAATAATTCTCGAAGGGGGCTTGAGAAAATTCGCAAGACTCGACCCCCCCTTCTCGAAGGGGGCTTGAGGAAATTCGCAAGCCCCCCCCCCTTCTCGAAGGGGGCTTGAGGAAATTCGGAAGCCCCCCCCCCTTCTCGAAGGGGGCTTGAGGAAATTCGGAAGCCCCCCACACCCCCCCTCCTTCCTCCCACTCCACAACAAGCAAATGGGGGGGGGGTAGAAAGAAAAACAGTCTCGTCTCTACTCCTCTGATAATTTTCGAATAATGAAACACAAAACAAAACAAGGTTCGAGGAGGGTGGAATTTAGAATAAAGCCCCTTTCTCTCCCCCCGCTTTCTACTTCTAGAAACAAAAACAGTCTCGTCTCTACTCCTCTGAATTGCGAAGAATGAAATACAAAACAAAACAAAATTCGGTGGGGGTGGAATTTAGAATAAGGCCCGTTCTCTCTTCTCCCCTTCCTCCCACTCCACAATAAGCAAATGGGGGGAGCTGCGCCCCCCCCCAACCCCCCCACGTTCTGCTTCTAGAAACAAAGCAGTCTCGTCTATACTCCTCTGATTTTCGAAGAATGAAAGAAGATTCTGGGGGGTTGCATTTAGAATGAGGCCCCTTGTCTCTTCTCCACTCACAACAAGCAAACGGGGGGGGGGCTGCGCCCCCTCCAACCCCCCCGCTTTGTACTTCTAGAAACAAAACCTCTCTTCTCCTCTGATTTTCGAAGAATGAAATGCAAAACAAAACAAGATTCGAGGGGGGTTGAATTTAGAATAAATTCCCTTCCCTCTTCTCCCTTCCTCCCACCAGATTCTAATTTCTCCCGTCCTCCCACTTCCTCGTCTCTGATTCAAAATAAAGTCCCTCTTGCTCCCACACTCCAAGACTGCGCCCCCTTCAACACTCTTTTGCTCAAGCTTGAAGCTCCCTCAAAGCCGCCTTCGAACTTTTCTCGGGGAGGCAGGAGTGGGGGTGGGGTCCGAATTTCCTCAAGCCCCCTTCGAGAAAGGGGAGAGGCTTTCGAATTTCCTCAAGCCTCCTTCGAGAAGAGGGGGGGCTTTCGAATTTCCTCAAGCCCTCTTCGAGAGGGGGGGTCGAGTCTTGCGAATTTTCTCAAGCCCGAGAATTGTTTCTCAAGTTCCCCTTCAAGCACCTTCGAAGTCCCTTGAATTCGAATTTGAGGAAGCCCCCCTTCTCAAGCACCCCTGGAAGCCCCTTCGAAGCCTCCTTCAATTTAAATTTGAGAATCTACTCGAAGGGAGCTTGAAGCCCCTTCTCAAGCCTCAAATTCAAGCCTCCCCCTTAAGCTCCCCTTAAAAAATTCGAAAAGATCACACCTGGAAAGCAGGGGTTGTCACATCTAAATGTGACACGTGCGGATGTTCAGACAACGCCCACTGCACCTAACCCCAGTGAACACCGTCCTACTCTTGCCGGCCTTTTCACGGTCTGGGCAAGTTTGGCAATCAGGCTGGGGGGCCCCTCGGGCGAGAGGCAGTTCTGATGTGCGGCATACCTCCCCCCCTGGGAGGGTTGTATGGCGGCTAGGCTCCGCCCACCTGTCCAACACGGTTTAGTGCCCAAATTGTAAGCGCGCTCCTTGGGAATCCTTCTCTTTCCGACCTCTTTCTTGATCACCTGCATTCTTTCTTGCATGTCCAGTGCCGGATCACTTGGTCCTCTGTTGCATGTTAAGAACGGCCAGCCTTTCCGCCTCAACCTCTGGCATCTGCAATCTGCCGCACCTTCTCTCAAATCTGTCGGATCATCCAGACATCAACAAGGTTGGATCCGCGAATTCTTGCAAAAGACGCGATCTCCGCAGTTTGCACAAACATACGGCTGTGGGAAAACTCGAGGTCATATCATATCCAAATCCCGGCCTCTACGACTAGTTGTGGACAGCTTCGTGTCCGGTGTGACTGCCCGCACCAATCTGTCTGTGTGGAAATCTGTGTTTCGACACGTCTGCGAATGCCTTTTTGGCCAAGGCGCATGTTTGACGTGCTTACTCGTCGGTGGCGTCAACTGGGTTTTTCCAGTTTTTACTTTTGACTCTTGGCTTAAGGTCAAGAGAGCTGAGAAAGCACGAAGAAGGCAGGACAACTGCACGTCGCTTTGTGTGGGCACCGATGACCATGCTATTGAAAAACAAACCCTTCCACCTACTCGTAACCTAACCCTAGTTGGGGAGAGGAGTCCAACCCCAATCCTATATCCCGAAAGGGAGGGACTGAGGGACAACCGACTCGCTCTCTTGTTTTCAGCGGTGCTGCTCTGGGCGAAGAAGTAGAATGCCTCGTGGGAGAGGCCAGGCAGTGTCCCACGAGCATGAAGGCCATCACACCCCCTGTTGAGGTGAGATGAGGTCCCGAGGCGGGACCTGAGGCTGCTCCACTTTGGGAGGCGAGCAGGCAGTTTTGAGGGGCCACTCCAACCGACCTCGCTCTCTTGTTTTCAGTAAGTAGAATGCCTCGTGGGAGAGGCCAGGTAGTGTCCCACGAGCATGAAGGCCATCACACCCCCACTTTAGGGGCCCAGGGCAGACCGGTGAATGTATTGCGCCTGTCGACCCCCACCGCGGGCGGTCTGGCTGGTGCCCGGGACACCAGGCCGGATGTGCTAACATCTGCAGGAGGCCAGTGCCCCAGTTGGCGTTTGGGGGCCACAGGCTGATCATGCTCTGGGCGAGCCAAGTCTTGCAGCAGGACGGGGAAGCGTTTGGCTTGGCTCGAGTGTGCAAGTTGCAGCTAAGGTCATCAGTGTCCGTGTTTTTGACGCCCGGGATGTGGCCGACCTCTAGGGCGAGGCCGCGCGCATGGGCCCAGGAGGCCCTCTTTGCGAGGAAGAAACTGAGCGGGAAGGCAGTAGTGAAGAGCTTGTTCACTGAGGCTCGTGTGGGGCTGTTGTCGCTTCTGGAGGCGAGGCAGAAGCGCAGGCTGGAACAACCAGTGGCCTCGTAGGCCATTTGCAACAGAACCCACTGCGCGATGATCTCGAAGCAGGCGATGTGTTGCTGGGCTTCCTGCAGGGCTGAAGCACAGGCGGGGTCTTTATGAAAAGCAGTGGCCGAGACTCGGCAGGTCTCTTCCCAGCGTGTTGCCTACAG